GCTTTTTACAAGGGCCTGTAGTGACAGGACAAGGGGGAACGTTTTTAAATTGAAAGTGGGGAAGTTTAGATTAGATATCAGGAAAAAATTCTTCATGGAGAGGGTGGTGAGGCACTGGAACAGGTTGCCCAGAGAAGCTGTGGATGCCCCATCCCTGGAAGTGTTCAAGGCCAGGCTGGATGAGGCTTTGAGCAACCTGGTCTAGTGGAGGATGTCCAATGGTAGGGGGGTTGGAACTAGATGATCTCTAAGGTCCTTTGCAACTAAAACCATTCTATGATTCTGTGATTATTTTCTGTCTTTGAGGATTCAGCTACCCAGATCTTAGATATGCAGTGTAGCCTTCAATGTCTAACCTAGCCATCCACACGTTTCATGTTGGTGGAAACAAACTTTTTAGGATACAAAACATATTGAGAAGTACATTTTTCTTTTTCTTTTCTTTGACTTTAAAGGGAGCTTAGAGTGACAAGCTCAGATGGAAACATCTGAAGAGGGTAATTGCAGCTGGCTAATATGCACGTTGTCCTGTAGAAAACTGGTTACAGTGGCAGTATCGCTGGCTGTGAATGTCAGTGGTATAGCATGAAGAGCTCATCAATCACATTGCATTTGATTGTGTGCTTGTGCATGTCATGCTTGCCTTTCACTGTTGGATAGTTTCTGGGGACATCCCATCAGACGTGTGGCAGCAACATAGTTACTGAGTTAAATCATTTTGATTTAATCCTGTTTGATGTCTATTCAATCCAGTTTTAATCTTGTTTGAAATCCATTACCAGTAGCCTCTTGGTTTACAGTTTAACCAAAAATCCTCTTATATAAAGCAGTTATTTGCTTGAAGAATATTAGGTTAAATTTCATTCATCAGTATTAACTGGCACTTGCCAATTTGAAACTAAACACAGTCTTTCTATAAATTTTGTATTTGTGCTAAGAAGGATGTATTTTATCTTCTCACTTAACCAATCACATAGGTAAGCATAGGTTTATTTGTATTTTCAACTTTTATTAAAAAATTACATGGACTTTCTCTTTTAGGTTAGTATTTATTATTAAAGTTATGACTACCCTAAAATAAAGCCTGATCTCCTTGAAGTATCTGACCTTACTGTAATATTGTTTTTGATTACTTAAACACAGTAAGAGTGTGGAATATAATGTTATAACCACTTTTTAAAAACAGTGTATTACATTATAAGATAACAGTATTGATTTCTTTGCTGCTTTATCCTGCTTGTTAATTACAGAGTAGTAAAATTATGAGTGTGCATGTAAGTTTTTCTGTTAATCTTTTTCTCTTTTGTGTTTTGGTACTTTTTTTAGGTTAAGTGCGAGTTGCTGCTTGAGAAAGACTGTCAGCTGCACGATCTGGAAAATAAACTTGGAGAGTATATTGCTTCCTTAGCCTTTCAGAAGACTAGTAAAAAATCCAAAATGTTGGAGCTGTATACTGCTACCATAAGTGTACAAGCTTTACTCTTTGAACAGCTGAGCACATCAAATACCCTTTCAAAATTGGAATGTATTCAGATTTTAGAAGCACATAATCCTGTAAGTAATGAAGTTGTGAAAAGGAAACATTCCTGTTAGGAGACAGCAACTATCATGGTAGCTTACTAGATTGTTTAACTGAGCTGGTTTGCAGCTCCTGGTCATTCAGCCTCTGATTTCTGTAATAATGTGTACTTTAATGAACTCAGTAAAAGAAATAAAGAGCGAGGAACTATTAGAGACAGGGAATATTGTGTATTATTACTATTTATTTTTATTATAGTAGCATCCAGAGTTCTACAGTCTGGAAGATTGGTATTTTGGTGGCTAATTAATATTAAAGTTTTATTGATAGCAAGGAAGACCATTGGGAAGTGGTTCTGAGTCTTGACTGGGATAGTATGTAAATTGTCGTGTCAGTATTTCAAAATTGTTTGTCTTACAGTGTTATCCATACAGTAAAATCCATAACCACATGATATGCTTCAATCATTGAAGTTTTTTAAATTACATATACAGTCTCCTACCTGTCTATCTCCTGCCAAGCACACTCAGGCAATTTAAATAGAAGAAACTTTGGAAAAGCCTCTTCCCTTCATCGTGTTTATTACATAGTTGGTATGTGCCAGTATTCTAATCCTTTTTTAATACTTCACTGCTCTGTATTCATAAGGTTTTTTTGTTGGGTGTTTTTTTTTTTTCCACATCTGCTATTTGCAACCATCGAAGTGAGGCATGGGAGAGCACTGGAGTAGAACAAACAAAATGGGTTTTTAAGAGCAAAACCCCTTTGCTAGAGGACATCATTAGACAGCTATTGCTGTGAAAACTCCTGGTTAAATTTTAATGCTGTTATCTCTACAGAGTTTCTCTTAGAATGGCAGTTAGAATGCTTATGTGCTTCCAGTTTTGCTTAAATTTGTATTAAAACTGTAGGAAATAGTGAAAGTTGTATGTAGACAGAAAATTAAAAATAATTTAATCTGAAATTACTTCCTTTTATGCAGCAAGTGTAAGGGGTACTCTGCAATAGGATTTCTGTTAGCTTCTCTGTCCTTGAACAGATGAAGAAAAAGGATTGGAAGAGGCAGAAGAGAGACGTGGAGTAGCTAACACTGGATTCTTTATCCAATATAAAAAAACTGAGTTGAACCCTATTTTGGGGGGGGAAAAAAATATTTTAGTAATTGTTTAAAGGGCCTGTTAGGCTTGGTTTACAGGGACTGTTTCCCGGTGATCTAACCTCTCTCTCTTGCTGTGTTTGTGTCCAGCTCCTTTGTCCCACTAGCTGGCAAATTTTAAAATTTGTTACTTTAAAACAAATACATGAGATTGCACAGAATTCCCTAATGCTGACCACATCAGGGATAGTTTTGCTAATCAGTGAAACAAACATGTCTGGTTATATGTGAATTTGCTTCGTTCCCTTAGTGATAATCAGTTAATACTCTGTTTCGGTGTTAGGAGGGTTGGATCTAAGCTCCAGTGTCAAATCCTGCTGACTGGGGAGCAAATGCTTACTTAGAGATGCCATGCTCTAATGAATCTGTAGTCTGAATACAGCTGATGAGGTGGAGGAATAGATTAAAATTCAGCATTTTCTCCAGGGTACAAGTTCAGAAGTAGGGCATTGAGATTAAGCAAATTAAGGCTTGAGGTCAGACAACAATGACACTGGTAAACTAGAATATGAAGCCTTCCTTCTGATGTCTAGCTTTACTCTTTGGCACGAGGGATCCTGTCCTCTTAAGACTTTAGGTTTCGGCCCTTTGACTTTTAGAGCATTGTAGTTTAACCCTAATTTTATCATACTAAATGTGTTACTGTCTTTTATCTTCAAACTTCTTTGATATTAGCTGTTGATTCAGTATAACTAAAACTAGTCAGTCCGAGTTTCTCAAGCTCTTTCAGTGGCTTTATGCAGCTTATAGATGAATTCTAATGGCACCATTCTTTTGTTTGAATCTCCACCATGCTGATAGTGTACTTTCTAGATGTCTTCTGCAGTGGAAGGTTTCAGAGAGTATTGACCTTTAACACAATGACAATTGGCTCATGTCTTTCAGCATTGTTCTGATATTCATAGTGTGCAGGTCGTGTTTACTGAAGCCATGCAATGAATTAGAAAGTGCAGTGACTGCAAGTGGCTGGGTAGAATGAGAAATGAATAAACTAATACCAGAAATTCTGATACCATCTTTTTTCATCACGCAAATGAAAGTTGCTCTTACAAGTTAAATTATGACTTTTCATCATTATGTATTTTCAACCTCCAGGAGATTGAAGAACTTGACAGGAAGCTGGAGTATGAGATGTTTCGTAAGGAGTCAGCTCAGCAGCAACATCTAATGAATAAGCAGATGTGGACTCCAGATGGATTGGGACTTTCAAGTGAAGCTGTGGAAACAAATCCAGAGAGACAGGTGACAGTTCTGCTAAGACAGGCTATGAATAAATGTAGGCAACTTATAAATCTGCACCAGCAAAGGTAAGTTCTTTGGTCTCGGGTTTTACTGAGTGCACAGTCTTTATAGACCATAAGATGTCAACAGAGAAACAGCAGGCTAAGCGTTCTGCTGTGTTGGGGAGGGACTGTACATCTATGTTTGAACAGTGCAGTTTTGTGATGTGGCCCAGAGCATAAATGAACGGTCTTGGGAATATTGAAATAAGCAACATGAAATAATAATAGCCTAGTTATGTATAGATTGTGCTGTGTTGCATGGCAATCACCATTTCTTGATGGGGACAATAGAAAAATAATACTCCTCAGCAGAAAGGAAGAAAAGAATTTGTCCTTTTCCTGTGTTTCCCAAGAAGATAGGTAGGAAATGCTTGCAATGAAACCTGCTCTGCTGGGGTCAGAGGAAACAACTGAGACAATTTAAATTGAATGTCCATCTCCACTGGCACACTGTAGACTGAATTCCCTGTCACACAATCATTTTTTATAAGATATATAAAGTCATCTTCAGAGGCAGGCTTTCACTTTTTCCTGGACAGTTTTTAAGTGAAGATATCACTGTGGGGGGAAGCCTCTTGGGAGATATATAGAAATATCTGCCTTGTGATGAAGTTTGCCTAGCAAAAATGGATGATAGTTTGCAAATTTGCAAAGTATTGTAATGCATTTGTTAGGGTTACGGGAGTTAGAAATTACATTTCCATGTGTATTGCACAGTATTAAAAGCCTACCACATTTCAAGGTTCATGTAAGATCCTGAGAGGGTGCTTTCCATTACAAAGAGGGTTTTCCATGAAGCAATTGATATATTAAAAATGGCTTTGATATGCATTGAGTGGAATTATTTCACTTTTAAGTCTCTTAATTCTGAAAGGGCTGAAGATGTAGATTGACTCGATATAGATTAACGACACTTCTGTTGCAGAAGTAAAGAGCCACTAGAAGAGCAGATAGGTTACTGGCTTGTGGATATTACTGTAGAGATACATCAGCCAAGCCTTCAAAGAAAGTGCAACTAGTTTTTACTATTTACCTGAAAACTTAATGGAAGAAACAAGTTTTGTACTTCTCCCAGATGACATGAGGATGGCTTCATGATTTGGTCCAGAAACAAAACAGTCACCAGTCTTGAGGTTGAACTGTTACATCGCTACTATTAGGTTACTGTTTACTAATATATTCTGTCTACAAAAAGTTCCCCAACTTGCCATGAAGTGTGGTGATAAAATTTAAAAAAGAGGATGGGTTGCTTTGAAGCAATTCCAGATTTGAACTGTGTGCAAGAGCATAGTCTTAGATTCTGCTCTGATGTTTGCTTAGTGGTTCAGGGAAGAAGAAGGGAGAAGTTGGCTTATTCTAGAAGTTACATTGCTCATCTGACTTTGCTGACAGAGATATACCCTTCCTGAATGGATGACTTTCTGATATCATTTCCTATAGTACAGTCATTGTGCATGGGAAGATTTCAATGTTAATTCTCTCTTTCACTTCAGCTTGAGAGATGAGCAATGGAATTGCGTGGTGCTTGAAGATCTCCTGGAAAATATAGAAATGGATGCATTTTTGGCACTTTACAGTCAGGTAAGCATGAAATTGAACAAAGCTTCCAAGTTTAAATTACAGCTGTATCTGGAAATCAGCTTTTCTTTTTTGGGAACCGTTACAGATGTACTTGGAGTGACTGCTAATGGTTGCTACCAGTTCTGGTGTTTGCAGCTTGTATTATTATTCACTTTGGTTAATTCTGACCTACTTTCAGACTTTTGAATTTTACTGAGTTAATACTTTTTGTTCACTTACAAATCCTATCAGAGCATTGTCCTAATGCATTTCATTCTGTGGAGAACTAAATTGCCTGAGTTTCTGGTTAACAGACAGATTTACAGCCCAATTTTCATGTAATGAGACAAGGGTTTTGTTGAGGTTTTAATCAGTGTTAGGAATGATTTGCATTGTTTGTGTTACAAAACTGAGTGATAGACGGATTGCCGGTTAAATTTTCTAGTACCATTACTCACTGTTTTCAAAAAGAGCATCACCTCTTCAGGTAATTTGCTCTCTGTTGGCTGCCTGTCAGTCCCACAAAAGGCATTAAAAATTAATTGCTGTTGTCCCCAAGTTTTATCTGCAGGCCTTGGTTGAGACATGTAGCTGGCATCTGAAAAGAGATGTTTGCAATCAGTGTTGCAGCTTTTTGCATCCAACTATCTTGCCTCTCGGGGACAAGTGTGATTGCAGTCACCAGTGTCATAAATTGGTAGTTCAGTGAGCCAAGGAGGGATCACTTAGACTAAGGGTCTCAGCTTTTCCTGTGTCTTAGCTCATTTCTGCTTAGTTTTCTGAACTCTTTATCCTCTCTCTCCTGAGCTAGATGTCTATGTGCGATCAGCTGTTCTCATGAAGAACTGAAGTGAGACTCCTGCAGATTATATCTGGGTTAGGAGATTCACCTTGAAGTTAGCACATGTTTTCAGATCCTTACTCTGATTTGGGTTAGGAATTTTGCATCAAGATCTCCAATAGCTCACATGAGCATGATAATCCCTTTGGTCTCTGCCTTATGGGGAGACTTAGGCTTCCTCCAGTCAGGGCAGAGTCCTGTGAGCCTTGCTGGAAGACCTCTGAGTATCTGGCAGCCTCATGGCTAAGGAATCTTCCTGAAATGGAAGATCTCACTTTCTGCTAATGAATTAAATCAGAAGAGTTGGGATTCAAAGCTCGTCTTAACACTTTCTAAGAGCATCGTATTTTCTAGACATAATAATAGAAACATCAAAAACCCATTCTGGTGTGTCTTGTGTTACCTTACAGTTTGGGGTTTTTTTTAGTAGTAGTGTTATTTTCCTCTTTGATCTCCCACCCACCCTCCAGCCTCCTGTTGCAACTGTTGTTTTTTCAAAACAGCTTGCTACCCTGTTGGCCTTGACAGTTTGGGATATTGTAAGCAGATGTGGCTGTCAGGAGCAGCTAAATTCTGTTCCAGTCTTCAGTTCCTTCTCACTGTTTTCTGCCCCATGGCCTACTGTGCATAGAGCTTCTAATGTTTTATTGGAATTCACAGAAATAGAATCCTGCTGACACTGTAAAAACTTCTGCTGCAGCCCTTTGTAGAGTACTTACGAGGTGTAAATATTCACATGATGGTGAGTTTAAATCTGGTTATTTCTTTGTAACTTTTAAACTCATATGCATTCATTTATGCTCCTTTAAAAAAACTTGAATAATGATGACAAGGCAGTCACCCACTATTCTCAGTTATTAGTTCAGTCGTGGAATGGTGATGAGGGTAGTGACAGCTATAACACTTTTCAGAGCTCATATTAAATTTGAGGCTGTATTTGCCCATTTGTAGTTGAAGTTTGTCTAGTAGCTCAAGATTTCAGAACACTTTTGTAGGAGAAAATATGATCTTTTTTACCGTTCAATGTTCCTTCTTTTTGGAACATTCTTTTTTACGTGTTTTAGAAAGCACATAAGAAGTTAACAGGCTTGTGTGAGTATTTTGCTGAAACATATGGTGTTTCAGATACATGTTGAATATAATAAATGTAAGATAAAATAAACTCTATTCAACATCAGTGGGAAAACCTATCAGAACAAATATAAAAATTTCAAATACTTTGAAAGGTCCTTTGGGCTTTGCTGATCTTTCCCCGTACTACTGTGGTTTAAGTCATTGATTTTGGTGGGCCATAGTCTTGTGAATTCTTCTTATACTGTTGTTTTGTTGGTGTTTTTTTCTAGTTCATTATATATTAATCTGACAAAATATGCTGCATCCAGAAATGCTGGCTGTTATAAAGGCTTTAAACAGCACAGACCAACTCCTCAAGATAAGCACTACTGAGACCATTATCATAGTTTAATTTCAATGCTTTTAAATCCACTATTGCCTTGGAATCATGAACTAATTGAAGAGACCTCGTATAGTGTTTATTTAGCAATTTCATAAGCTGGCAAAAACAGGTACCGCTAAGTGGGAACTCTTACAAGAGAGCATGAAGGCTGCATTAATCTCATACTGTGGTTCTTAACTTGCAATACTCCTGAGCATAAAAGGGTAGGAAGAAGATGCATGCAACAAGCCAGCTGCTCAGCAGAAGAGTTCTTATATTGCAAAGAATATGAAATGTTTTTCTGCTGCTCTTGAGTTTGGTTGTGTCTGTTAGAGCCTCAGCATCTACCTCCCTCATGTAGGCATGAATTTGTGCCATGTTAAGATGAATGATGAAGCAGCTGTGTAGGACTTGATGGGAGGGAAGGGAGACGAACCCGGTCACTGAGTGCCACTGCTTCTGGCTGTGAATCATTCATTTTGAGGGGAAACCTATACCAAGAGAGCTTGTCTCTCTTCTTAGCTTTTCAGCTCAAAGTCAAAGCTCTCTTTGTTTTGGAAGTGATAATCATATTTATTATTGGACTGCCCAGGACTAACCAGGAATATTCTGGGTTTGCACATTATTGTGACTCAGTTTTGGTGCTATAAAATTTTATAATTAAGTACTACGCTCCTTGTTCTATATTCCCCAAGATCATACCACTTGGCTGGGGGGAGATGCTGGATATTGCTTTTTCTACAGCATAAGTAAACCATGTTGCTTAAGTTGCTGACAGTTTATAGAATCCTAGAATCATATAGATTGGAAAAGACATTTAAGATCATCGAATACAACCATTAACCTAACACTGCCAAGTCCACCACTAAACCATGTCCCTAAGCACCATGTCTACATGTCTTCTGAATACCTTCAAGAATTTTCACTAAACCACCTGGGCAGCCTGTTCCAATGCTTGACAACCTTTTCAGTGAAGAAACTTGTCCTAATATCCAATCTAAACCTCTCCTGGGGCAACTTGAGGTCCTTTCTTCTGGTCCTATCACTTGCTACCTTGGAAGAGAGGCTGATGCCCACCTTGCTACAACTTCCTTTCAGGTAGTTGCAGACAGCAATAAGGTCTCCCCTGAGCCTTCTCTTCTCCAGGCTGAACAGCCCCAGTTCCCTCAGCTGCTCCTCACAGGACTTGTGCACCAGACCCTTTGGGGTGGTTGCTCTGTTGCCCTTCTCTGGACACGCTCCAGCACCTCAATGTCTTTCTTGTAGTGAGGGACCCAAAACTGAACAGAGGAGACAAAGTGCAGCCTCACCAGTGCCCAGTACAGGGGACAATCACTGTCCTGGTCCTGCTGGTCACACTGTCCCTGATGCAGGCCAGGATAGCATTTGTCTTCTTGGCCACCTGGGCACACTCTTAGTCAGTTGGCCATTGACCAACACCCTCCAAGCTGGTAGCTTTGCAGGGGGTTGTTGTGACCCAAGTGTGGGACATGGTGCGTGGTGGCACCCAAGATAATCTGCTCCATAACCTTTCTGGCACTGAGGTCAGACTGACAGGCCTGTAGTAACCCAGATCCTCCTTCTGGCCCTTCTTAAGATGGGCATCACATTTGCTAACCTCCAGTCAACTGGGACCTCCCTAGATAGCCAGGACTGCTGATAAACAATTGAAAGTGTCTTGGTGAGCCCTTCTGCCAGCTCCCTCGGTACCCATGGGTGGGTCCCATCTGGCCCTTTAGACTTGTGTTTGTCCAAGTGGTGTAAAAGGTCGCTAGGCATTTCCCCTTGGATTATGGCAATTTAATTGTCTTCCTGTGTTGCCTGTTAAGTTTCTTTGGTACAGATACATTGTGAAAGAGCTTTTGAACAGTATGACATGTATTCTGCAAGTTGAGGGGTTAGAGTCATTGTTATGCAGATCATAGATGCAAGCAAACAGAATATGTCAATATTTTCACAATGCCCAGACCTCTTAGCACTCTAGCAGGTGAACAGTGACCCTGGATAATTGTAGATTGTGGCATCTTGAAGACAGAGGTTGAAGAGCATCACTGTCACCTCACTGCACTTGAAAAACTGGATGCACTGTTCAGTGTATACTTGGGGGACTGTGCTTTATGTTTTGTTCATGAGATTCCCTGAAGAAATAATTAATTTGTGTAAATATGCATTAGATACTCCATTGCGGATTTTGTGTTTATATTTATTCATATAAAGTGTAGCCCAGAGATATTCTGCGACATACTTTATTGAAATTCCATAAAACCTATACATATTTACACTATAGATATAAAATTTCTGTTCTGAGCAACTGTAATATTATACTAATTCCAACTATAATTCCAAACCACACTACTGTTAATTCAACTGTAAAGAAGTATGTGTTTAGTAGAAGAGTATGTTCTTACTTTTGGATGTGCTTATCCTTTGAGCTGATATGGGAATAGATTTTAAATATTCTCACCCCCTGTTTTCTTACAATTAATAGAATACATTATTTTGGCAAGTATTAGGAAACTGTAGGATACCTCTGTATATTACACTCATTCTTTTCTTTAAAGAGGATTTTCCCCTTTAGACTGTTTTTCAGAACTGTGGATGCAGCCTTCTCTGGAAAACTAGATAAGTTTTACTTTTCTATATTTCGTGTTTGAGCTTACCTCCTTATCGAGGCAGATCTAGGTCAATAATAGATTTGCTTGAATGATAGTGAATTCCAGATCATAAGCCTGTGGCTGAGAAGTTACTTTTAAATAATCTCATAGCTATAGCCCCAGGTACACTAGTTGCATTTTAGAGACAACAGATGATGCAGGCAGATGATGCTGTTTCCACATGTGGAAACAGCACAGTAAGCTTGAAACACAGTATGGATCAAGTTAATTGGTTCTTGTGTTAGGTGTTTAAATACACATTGCTCAGTCCATATACTTAAAAGTAATTCTGTTGTTTGTAAATTACAATTCATTCCTCGTTTTATTTTGACCCAATTCAGAGAATACAGATGAGGTTAATGGCAGTGCAAGTAGCATTTGTATCTATTAGATGTTATGAAAAAAGTGAATTCCTAACCTTTTTTTGGTACCTTACAATATAATATCCCCGAAGAATCAAACTCAACCCACACTGGAGGCCTTTGGTCTGACTAGTGCAACCATTCCTGTGTTTGCATGCACATTCACTTCTCCTTCCCACTTCTGCAAGTGGGTCTGGGTAGCTGCGAGCATCTGAAAGTGCTGCTCAGCGCTGGTGCATGTTCACACATCAGCACTCCCTTTGCCGTACCTATGCTAGATGCACCTGGCCAGTGCATGCCTGTGCCGCTTTGCTGTCAACAGTACCAATTGTAGCACCGTGCAGGAGTACTTAATCATGAATTCTGCTGTGTTAGAAAAGAATTAAGGGTTGCCTGTCAGTCCAGGTCATAGTTGATGCAGAAAGGTATGGGTCAGAGTGGGGAAAATAACATTTTAAAAGGAAACTATTACAGAGGAAAGCAGTACTGAAGTCATGTTTCAGTCATCCACATATAAGTAACTGAGTTAAAAATCCTGAGACCATGTAGCCAAAAAGGACAGAATAGGTCACAGAGATGTCATTTTTATTCTCAATGTTTTTTGTAAGTTTCTGGAACAGTTTTTAAAGACCAAAAGTACAACACAGTTTGTATAGCACTATAGAAATTAAACTTAGGTGTTTCTATTAATGTTTAAGTTCTTATTTACATTCCTCTCCAGAGAAGAATCAAATAATTTCTTGCCCTAAGTAGCCTGAACAAGCATGTCTTTTACCTAACTTTGGTACCTGTTTAGGGTGAAAATATTGGACACTTCAGATACCACATCAATTTACTAATCTTTCTTCAATCTTAGGATTTTGTCTTGTTTATTCTAGTATCTCAGTGGTTTCCATGGAAAACCTGTAACAACACTGAAAAGGCCAAAAAACTTTGCAAAATGGCTAGTTTTCCTGCCTTTTGGAGGGGAGTTCTCTGCTTGGAGAACGGTTATGGGAAAAGAAGGTTGACTGATTTCTTGTATTTTTGGGGCTGTGTAAATTTGGGTTAGGCCTGCTTTGAGGGTAATTGTTTTGTTGGTTTTTATATGGATTTAGCAGAAAGAATTGTCTTTTACAGAGCATCCCTCTGGTGAAGTGGTTCTTTCAAAGGAGATTCACTTAATATAGGGATCACTTAGGTGCTCCTCTGAAATTTCATCGTGCAAAAAAAGAGGCAGAGTTCAAACATTTGCTGTGACATTTTGAATCCACTGTCGACAAAGAAATTGGCTGTCTTCCTGTATGGTGGGACCTTGTGGGTTCTTGATGTGACATGGGCTTTCTAGTCCCCTTCCCATCAATGGTTATAGGAGGGTCTGTAGCACGGGGGTGACTCAGCTGTCATGAGTCATCTCGAACGTTTGGCACATCTTACCTAACAGCTACCTGAGATACGTGTATGGTTTGAATAGACTACTGCAGCTTTTTTCTGACATCCTTTAAAGCTTTAACTTGCTTTAATTTGCTCTACTCTTTCCTTTCCATGTAGATCTCTATATATTGTAGACTTTTCATATCTGACACACGGGAGGTATCTGCAGAAACAGCCCTGGGGACACAGATGACAGCAGAGCAGAAAATAGCAACGGGATTGTGGTGTTTGGAAGGGGATGGGAAATGGGGCTGGTGGATTGTCTAAGGAACAACTAAATTTGAACTTAGTCTATTTGAACACTATGTGAATATGCTTTACCACTGACCTTTGGGCTAAAAAAGAGAGGACATTTGGAAAAAAAAAACACACCACTAAAATAAAAACAGGTGTTCCCTTCACCTCTTAACAAATGCTACAAGCTGTTTTCTGAGCTTATCACAGAATCTCATATTAAAGGCTGAACAATGAAATGCTCGACCGTGGCAACATGTAAACATTGTCATTGGGTTTCAGAGACTATTTTCCTCCTTAATTTTACAGACCAAGGAATGCCATATCACTTAATTGCTGTCTTGAAAGGATTTCTTGATAGTAGTACAGTCCATAAATTAACTAAACCTTACATTGTGATTTCTCTGACCCAAGTATGCCCTAAGCACATACGCCAAGATCAGCTGGTTGTTTAACATCTGCATTGCCTACATGCAGAATGAAATGGACATCTGTAATGTATATGGGCCAGTGTGGGTAGAAACAATGATTATCAGACTGTGACCATTTGACACCAAAACTGTCACCAATAACATGATTTTCAATGCTGGTTTTTTTCTATAATGAGTAATTCTTTAATTATAGTAATTAAAATTTGCTAATGCTTTTTTTTTTTTTTTTTACATTTTCAATGTTGAATTCATCTGTCTCATTAATCCTCTAGGAGCTCCGACTGGCAGGTTATTTAGCTAAACTGATGAGGGTACCCATGGGGGTTTTGCACAGGATCCTCAACTTGTTGCTGCCCACCAACTCACAAAGTGAGGTTCTTTCTGTCCTTGATTCCATCAGTAAATATTCAGATGGTGTTGTTGAAAGTGACAGTAATGCTGATGAGTCTGACAGCTGTAAAAAAAGGTAAGTGTGATGTTTTTTGGTAGACCATGACAAGAGAAGATTAGTGTTTTACATGAATATGTATTTGCTGGACAAGCAGATTGACAGCAGTAGAAAAAATCACAGGTGCATAAGCTTTTCCTTTTGAAATATTTTTGTGGGGTAAAAATACTTTGAAACTGCTACCTTATTTTCTGAAATATTTTAGCTATAATAAATTGATTGATAAAGAGCTAATAAATTTTATAACTTTATGAATTAAATGGGAGTTTTACTGATTCATAAATCTTGTTCTGATAATTTCATTCCTGACTATAATTGGAGTTTAATAAAATATTTTCCTTCCAGTTTTTTGTATTTATAATAGTCACAGCACACCACATTTCAGGTGTCTGTAGCTCCTGAAGATACAAAGGAGGTCCTCCTTTCTAATAATGGAAGTTTCAACCTTGTAGATGTCTGTCCCTGTATAGTTTATTACTAAATCCCAAGTGGCCACTGTTTCTCCCTTTACTCAGACAGGTAGTCTCCCAGAGCCTTCATCACTCCAGTTTGTCCCCATTAACATCAGCTGAATAGCTGTGTAGCTAACATGGAGAGGTGCTCCCGGACACTCTCTCCCTACTCCCTGCCATGACATAGGAAGGGGAGAAAAGCAGATGTTGTGGCACTAGGCCCTCTAGTTGCCAGATGTCAGCTGTCAAGGAACAGATAAGGGTCCTTGGGACCATGCCCTGAGGTGTGATCTTAGCTGGTTTAAATGACTTGTGGCAGGGCAGCAAAAATCCGTGAATGCTCTTACTTGACTGTATTCATGGTACTACTGTCATGGGTTTGGGAGCTAAAATCAGAAGGGCGGAAAATGTGCATATTTGAGGACTTGCTTCTGGGAATTTTTTTCTTTCCTGCTCCTTCAGGAAGAACCAAGAATTGTGGCAAGCACTAGAGAACAAAGTAAGGCAAGATCTGATAAACCAAAGTTTGGAAAAGATGCCTTCTCTAAACAAGAGAAAAGACAGGTAAGGAGAAAACAGGAAGAAACTTAATTTTTTTTTTTTTTATATACTTATTTCATCTTTAACGGTTCCTCATAGCTGTTAGAAATCAGAAAACAAATCCACAAAATTCACACATTTTTATATACATTAGCAAACTTCTCTGAGGTTATTTATGATGAGGTTACCTTTCCTTATGCAATTTTCTATCTCAGAAAATTATATGTAAATTATTGTTATTTGGAATGGAAGTTACAATTCTGTCTGAAATATGATTTTCTTTAGCTTCCAAAGTCACCACTTCTGTGTCAAGATATGATATAAAAAGGGTTTTTTTTGTTTTGTTTTGTTTTTTTACCAAATTTTTCATTTTTCAATTCAATTTTTTTCATTAATGTAGCTTGATAAAGAAGAAACAACTTGCTCTCTTGGAAAAACCATCATTCATTCATCTTGGCTGTTCGGTTACACATCCTCCTATGGAAGTGCTTGATCCACCTGTTCCTTTGAACACTGCAACTGCCAAAGCCATAGTGCTGTTAGACACAGGGGAGAAGGTATTTTTGTTCCGTGAGCCAAGTGATCCAGTACTTTCTTTGCAGAGTTCACCAAGGAAAAAGAAAAAGAACTTTCTTAATTCCAGAAAGGCCACTCGTGTAAATATGGACTTGTGAGGGCGACTTCCTTTCAACGTATCAATTAGGAAAGAGGAGGTTATTTAAAATTTAGTAAAATAATGAGAAAGAAGTGTGCAGTTTAAATAACACGTGCTTTGTTTTAATCTCATTTGTTTGACATTGTAAATAGCTGTAATTTTAGAATGGCACAGATAGCAATATTCTCTGTGCATTTTTTTAATTCTCATCGGCATATGATGCAGTAGATGAAATATGGGTGTTTTACGGTGCACATTCTGACAGGTTGGATTTGGTGTTCCTTCAGTATATTTTAGTAATTTTTGCACTGATTTTACTGTAGTTTTATTTTTATAATTTATATAGAAAGGTTATTTTTTATATAAAGTACTGCTTTACTGTTCTTGTATTTATATAATCTTGTAATAAGCTGCAGTATTGCAGGTGACATGAAGAGATGAAGTGGATGACCCACAAGTCCTCTGTTCTCTGATTTTCTGTTATTCTAGCTAATTTACTGTTTAATGTTGTGTTCTTAACAGGCTTTGAATGTTACTTCTGCAGTCTGTGTTCTACAGTGATAGCTGGTAGTCCAAATCTTGAGCATAGAAACATAGAAGGGTTTGGATTGGAAGGGACCTCAAAGACCATCCAGTTCCAACCCCCCTGCCATGGGCAGGGACACCTTCCACTAGATCAGGTTGCTCAAAGCCCCATCCAGCCTGGCCTTGAACACTTCCAGGGATGGGGCATCCACAGCTTCTCTGGGCAACCTGTTCCAGTGCCTCACCACCCTCTCCGGGAAGAATTTCTTCCTGATATCTAATCTAAACCTCCCCACTTTCAATTTAAACCCGTTACCCCTTGTTCTGCCACTACAGAGCCCCACAAAAAGTCCCCGCCAGCTTCCTTGTAGCCCCTTTAGGTACTGGAAGGCTGCTAAAGGCATATGCATGTGTACTTAGCCTTACATCCTGGAGTAACTTTTCACTATCATTTCTAAACTTACTTCCGTTGAACTGTGAACACGGATGCAGTTCAAAACTCTGTTAAATATTTTCTTGGCGAACCAGTATCATCACACTTGCTTGGTAGAAAAGGGAAAAATGTAAATTGACATGTAATACCTTAATAATAGTAAGACATGTAATACCTTAATAATTTTAGGTGGGTATTTTTGAAGGTCTTATTCTTGCATTTCTCTATTTTGGCAAGAATATAATTTTACATTTTAAAAAGGGTTAATATTTAAACTTTTCTAGTTGACAGAAAGAAGCCTATAACTATGAACCCTAAAACACGAACAGAAAAAGCCTAATTAAATTAATGTATTTTTTAATATTTGATGGTATTCAAGCCTGATTTGAGGTTTTTAAACTGTATTTTAATGGTATGCTCTGAGGGTACTGTGATCATATGTTTTGCAGTTTTACATGTACTGAGTTTCTGTGTCTTTGTATTAATATGGTACATATTTCTTTTTAAAAATTAAAATGTTCCGAGGTATGTGTGTCTGCAGTTGGCATCCATTCCAAGTGGAAAAAACTATGGTTGTGGGGTTTTTTCTCCTCAGTTCTCTTGACAAGTTTAAGTATTCAACCCACAGTAAACAACAATTAGTGTTTATATCGCTATTAGCATTAGAAAATTTATGCAGTAATTAGCCTGATAATCCTAGTTATTTTTTGATTGCATTCTTCAGTCTTTTCATGGAAGTCATCGCTCTCATGGAAGTAGAAATTCATCAGGGTTGTACATCACCCCCAAGGCGTGGGTAGGTAAAGGTAGGGTCCGTCCTACCTCAGAGGTGGGTCAGAGCTCAGGGATTTCAGAAAGGGGTTTGGCTAGGCAAGAAAAGCAGTAGGAAAACCTGAGCTGTGCTGGGAGCTGCAAGGAACACTTGAAAGCTGAAACACCCTGTCTTGAATATGAGTCTCTTCTGAGATGTCTTTGCAAGCCCAGACTCGAGGCTATTATAAAAGGGAAATGGCCATACTGATCACAGAGGAGACACTGGGGCCAATAGCTCTAATCAGTTACAATAATACAATGCAACATCTCGATATTGATTGCAAAATCAACTTATTATCCTTAACAGATAATCTGTATGTCTAATAACAGAAAGACAATTTGTAATTCTGACACACCTCATCACAAATTTGAAGCAAATCAGTGATTGTAACTATTGAAGCAGGGAAAGTCATGTCCCACTGTAAATCAGTTTCATATCATGCAGTACATATTCAAAGAAACATCCAGATCCTAACATCTTTTGTGCCTTATGAACAAAATACTACCTAGGTAAAAGCCCACCTGAATGTAAAGAGTTACATTCAGCTTTGAGTCATTTGGAGGACATAGGAGGCCCAGCTGTTGTGTGTGCAGTTCTGTGTGTGTACCACCAGTATTAGCATCCATATTTCACAGCTGAAGTCTTCCAAGGAATGTGTGCTGGAAAAGCCATTCAAGGTTAAGCCCATTTGGCTTCATAGTCATCAATAAAATAAGTAATACAAGGCCAAAATTATTCAGGATTTTGAATATTATCCACGTGGGGCAAATTGTTCTTCATTCTCACTAAATTGCCATCAGAAAGGGACACCTTATAGTCTGCCTGAACCTCCTGTTTTAAACAGATGTAGTCAAACAGAAAAGATAAAAGTAACTGGTAAGGGTGCCAATATCATGCTCATTGTAGAAATGGGGCTTCAAAGAAATGACTCACTTGTTTAGCAAATTCTTCTGTTGGTTTCTACCTGACTATATAATGTATTTTACTGAGATTGAAAGTACTGGAAATGAAGAACCCTATAATTAATCCCACAATTAATTGTGTGCCTCTGGAATTTCATTACTTCACATCTTATCTTGTACCTGGCAGTTAATGATATACTCTTATTGCATTGCGACTGTTTTCTCCCCTCAACCTGAAGCCATTGACCAAGGAACCAAACACGCAAAGAAAAGGCAAAAGTAACTGTCCCTGGGCAGTGAAGCTTTAATCCATGCAGTAAAAAATGACTAGCAATGGTATAATTATTGAAGAAATTATTCTCCACGCCAGACTAATAAACTGTAGGTTTTTGCTATCATTTCTTCACCATGTACTTAAGTAATGTCAGCTTGCAATCTGCACCCACTGCGCAGAGCATCCCTCATACCCAGGGCACTGCCTGGGCACAACCTGGCTCCTGGTTCACGATTTTCAGGAGGCTTATTAGTTGTGCACAGGCTCCTCGGTGTTATCGTTAGCCCAACTTGCTGCTCGTGAAGTAACACTCTGTGTTTGTCAAAGCAGAGGTATGCATCAGTAGGGGAAAAAATACTATGAAAACTCAAAGAAAATTATTTTAAGATACTTTGATCCTTTTAAGATTAAATGGACACTTACTTGAATGTTTTAAATTGTTAAGGTCCTCAGTGCCCATGTATTTAAACAGAATCAGTATCTGTATGCTTCTGGACCTGTGCAACTATTTGCAGTGGGTAAGTAATTATTCATCAGATTTTCTGCTGTGTCGTACTATGTCCCTGTTCTTCATGTGTATGCGGTATCTTCCTCATGAATGCAGTTACTGAAGTCTAATTCATTTCTGTAGTGAAGTTCTTTGCTGCATCTCTTAATAGAGGTTGAAACAAAACCCACAGTTACATAGATAATAGCACGAAGCCTCCATAGTTCCCTTCAGAAATAATATTTTAAAAGATTATTTATTCTCCTTGCCCTATTTCTGGCTTGGTGTACCGGGGATATAGGTATGGGATTAGCATGCAGGACATTGCTCACTGTTGTTTAGTTTAACTCTAAGATCACGCTTTTATTTAATGATTTCACTTTAAAGTTCTTCTTTTTAAATAAAAAGATCCCACATGGTGAAAAACATTTTAGGGAAGATGGACACAAAATGTTGTTCTGTCGTGCTTGAGCTGAAAATGTTTCCATGAAACTAGTGAGTTGAGATTTCCTACAGTAGTTTCAGTTTCATTTCCCTGTCCTCAGTATTACGTGTTAATTTATAATAAAGTAAAATACGCAGGCTAATCCTTGTGAAGAATAATTCATACCAAGAATGAACGACTGGGTGTTCTGGTGGAGACTATCAACATTGTGTCAAAAAGTCGATCAATTGTAAAGAAAAGTGAAAATACATACATAGACCTATCACTTCACCACAGAAAAATGTAAAAATGGAAGTTAAAGGGTTGACATTTTTGTGGAATCCACTGTTACGTTTAATAGGTAACTTTACTTACAATAGTTTTGGGTTAATTAATTTTTCAAGTGACGATGGCTCTTTAATAAGGTCAGTTCTGCAAAAATCTCATCTGCTTTATTTGAACCTGGGGAAACCATGCTTCTTTCTTCATTATCTTATATTTACTCAGCTGCTATTCTAACACCTTTATTTCTTCTGGGGAATGTTAAGACTCTATGCTGTTATCTTAATACAGCTCAGTGCCGGTAACCACCCTGCCTTTCATCAACAGCTCCTGCTTCCCGAGAGACTGACAGCAGGATTTTCAAAGCACCAAATGCCAAGTCCACTCACTCACTTGACCCAGTTCCCTCTCTGCCCTGCGCCAAAACGTTTCACTGCGGTGCTGGTGTAACTGGTGCAGATGTAGGTGTACCAGCATAAAGCTGATTTTCCTTACTGAACTGTAAAAGCTGCATTGTCACAGGCTGTTGAGCACTGTATGAGGGGTCATGCAAACACTTGTACCAGCCGAGCAGTATGTGCAAGTGATGAACATTATTATCCTCCTAGCTGAGTGCTCCAGGTGGGATCTAGTCTTTGCCACCTTCTGCTTCTCCACTCCAGTCCTTTTCTGCAGAATGGCTGGCAAAGGCCACCAGCTGAGGCCTTCAGTGCTCTCTTTCCATTTGTTTTCTTGTCATTCCCAGGGAGCGAGGCAGGGAAAGTCAAGCTCAACGCTTGTGAAAGACTCCGCAGTGTGCTCACTGTTTGCCTTTGGTTGCAGACAAGCTGTGATATAAATGGTCCATTCAACGAGAACTGATAACGCCCATCTCTGTA